AAGTAGGCTGAGGTGATGGCAGGTTTGAGAGGCCAGTTCTGTGGAACAGAGGTCACTGCATCGACTGAAGGGAATGCCTTGTAAACAAGTCAAAGTAGGCTGAGGTGATGGCAGGTTTGAGAGGCCAGTTCTGTGGAACAGAGGTCACTGCATCGACTGTGAAGGGAATGCCTTGTAAACAAGTCAAAGTAGGCTGAGGTGATGGCAGGTTTGAGAGGCCAGTTCTGTGGAACAGAGGTCACTGCATCGACTGTGAAGGGAATGCCTTGTAAACAAGTCAAAGTAGGCTGAGGTGATGGCAGGTTTGAGAGGCCAGTTCTGTGGAACAGAGGTCACTGCATGTGAAGGGAATGCCTTGTAAACAAGTCAAAGTAGGGAATGCAGGTTTGAGAGGTAAACAAGTCTTGTAAAAAGTCAAAGGCTGAGGTGATGGCAGGTTTGAGAGGCCAGTTCTGTGGAACAGAGGTCACTGCATCGACTGTGAAGGGAATGCCTTGTAAACAAGTCAAAGTAGGCTGAGGTGATGGCAGGTTTGAGAGGCCAGTTCTGTGGAACAGAGGTCACTGCATCGACTGTGAAGGGAATGCCTTGTAAACAAGTCAAAGTAGGCTGAGGTGATGGCAGGTTTGAGAGGCCAGTTCTGTGGAACAGAGGTCACTGCATCGACTGTGAAGGGAATGCCTTGTAAACAAGTCAAAGTAGGCTGAGGTGATGGCAGGTTTGAGAGGCCAGTTCTGTGGAACAGAGGTCACTGCATCGATCAGAAGGGAATGCCTTGTAAACAAGTCAAAGTAGGCTGAGGTGATGGCAGGTTTGAGAGGCCCAGTTCTGTGGAACAGAGGTCACTGCATCGACTGCATCGACTGTGAAGGGAATGCCTTGTAAACAAGTCAAAGTAGGCTGAGGTGATGGCAGGTTTGAGAGGCCAGTTCTGTGGAACAGAGGTCACTGCATCGACTCTGAAGGGAATGGTAAACAAACAGGCTGAGGTGATGGCAGGTTTGAGAGGCCAGTTCTGTGGAACAGAGGTCACTGCATCGACTGAAGGGAATGCCTTGTAAACAAGTCAAAGTAGGCTGAGGTGATGGCAGGTTTGAGAGGCCAGTTCTGTGGAACAGAGGTCACTGCATCGACTGTGAAGGGAATGCCTTGTAAACAAGTCAAAGTAGGCTGAGGTGATGGCAGGTTTGAGAGGCCAGTTCTGTGGAACAGAGGTCACTGCATCGACTGTGAAGGGAATGCCTTGTAAACAAGTCAAAGTAGGCTGAGGTGATGGCAGGTTTGAGAGGCCAGTTCTGTGGAACAGAGGTCACTGCATCGACTGAAGGCCAGGGAATGCCTTGTAAACAAGTCAAAGTAGGCTGAGGTGATGGCAGGTTTGAGAGGCCAGTTCTGTGGAACAGAGGTCACTGCATCACTGTAAACAATCGAGGCTGATGGAAGGGGAACAATGCCTGCATTGTAAATGCCTTGTAAACAAGTCAAAGTAGGCTGAGGTGATGGCAGGTTTGAGAGGCCAGTTCTGTGGAACAGAGGTCACTGCATCGACTGTGAAGGGAATGCCTTGAGGTAAACAAGTGGAACAAGGTCACTGCAGAAGGGAAGGCTGAGGTGATGGCAGGTTTGAGAGGCCAGTTCTGTGGAACAGAGGTCACTGCATCGACTGTGAAGGGAATGCCTTGTAAACAAGTCAAAAAGTAGGCTGAGGTGATGGCAGGTTTGAGAGGCCAGTTCTGTGGAACAGAGGTCACTGCATCGACTGTGAAGGGAATGCCTTGTAAACAAGTCAAAGTAGGCTGAGGTGATGGCAGGTTTGAGAGGCCAGTTCTGTGGAACAGAGGTCACTGCATCGACTGTGAAGGGAATGCCTTGTAAACAAGTCAAAGTAGGCTGAGGTGATGGCAGGTTTGAGAGGCCCAGTTCTGTGGAACAGAGGTCACTGCATCGACTGTGAAGGGAATGCCTTGTAAACAAGTCAAGATAGAATTGTTTTGTGTCCAAACTGGATAGCTAAGGTGGTGGATCAAGCCAGGAAGTGGTAACAGTTTCTGAGATGTGCAGTCATGTTGAGTGGTGGCAGTGAAGGCAGGGACAGTGGTGATAATAGTGCTTTGCATGGTGGCTGATCTGTAATTCTGTTGTCATGGTGACAAGGTCATGACTGTGCCTGGTCATCCTCAGAGCCTGGTTTTAAGCAGATCTGGTAGCCCAAAGAGGTGTTTCTCTTACCGGTGAGAACATTTGCGATTGGCCAACACCGGAGTTATCTTTGTAGACAAGACATGATGCATGGAGCCCAATGCACAAAAATGACTTTTGTTATTTCATCTTCTGTCTTCATGATAGTCAAATCCAGCCATCGTGCAGAATGAATCAGAATGAGATCAAATTGTGACAGAGTATAACAATGTCAAGAATTTCATCTGTCATCCATTCCTTTTTTTTCTAGTTTTCTTTGGAATGATTTTATTTGATGATATTATTAAAGTTTCTCTTAATGTGTCTCACTATGACTTTCCATTCTAATTTAGTTTCTTGTAGCTGAGAACAGAAATTCAAAGTGGGATACACATTCTTAACTTAATGGTTGTATAATGTTGAAGAAAATTTTATTTTAAACATAAATACTACTTTTTTAATTATTGCACTGCTGGTGTTCTGTATTTCTTTAAATTTTCTTTTTAATCCTTCACACGCCTTTTGAAGTCAGGCATGAAATCAGAAAATTACCACTGTTGATCTAACATCACAGACCACCATGCATAAATAAATGTTTTCATGGTTTTAAATCTAGTTAATTAATCCTTAAATTTACTAATTTACTTTGAAACAAATCTCTAGGACAGAAACTGCATTTTTAATATTACTTCTCTTTCCACTGCATTCTTGTTCAAGGCCTCTTGATTACTGTATCCTTATTGTCAATTTCATTCAAAGGTGTATAGCAGGATATAGCAACACAACTATGAAATTCAAACAAATTCAAATTCAGGGATCAGAATCACCTTTAGTAGCAGGATAAACTTTTTACACAGCAAATAAAGTCACATACAGATTGATAAAGGTTAAGAGACCTGTGTAATAAATTTGTTTACATTTTTTGTCTGTAATGACGGTTTGATGAGAGAATGTGTTAATGATTTTAAAATGCTTAAAAACTGTATTTGCATATGGAAATTTATATTTCTCTTAATACAGATTAGCTTTTTACTATTATCTTTCAAATAAAACCAAAATTTAACTACAAAGAAGACATCTAAATTACTTAATGAGTTTTTCGGTCTTTAGAAGGTCCATAATGGCACTTAAATGTAGATACCTAAAAAAGAAAAAAAGTAATACCTAAGTTTAAAATGCATTTTAAAAAAGGAAATCTTTCTTGAGGCTTTAATTTAGATTATTTTTAAGCTAATAGATTAAATTAAATATTCCCCATGAGCAAAATACTTTGTATTTCAAAGCAAATTTAAACTGCTTGGAATTTTCTTCCTTATCACAAAAATCCATAACATCATCCATATTGACAGATCTGTCAACACAACAATTCACCTTATTAAAAAAAATCTTTCAAAAATAAAATATACATTGGTGAAACGTTATTGGTGGAAAATTAGCAAATTTATGGTTCAATTAATCTAAATTAAAACAAATAACTTTCTTTGAGTTTAAAATATCACAAAGAAGCCTCTTAAGGTGAGGGCATAACCTGGTGAGGGATTTGAAACTGATTTTGGGGGAAATTTAAATAAGTAGGGCATAAATTAAATAAAATTACCTGAATACAGGTGAGCATCTTTCTTATACAGGAGCTGCAAAAGTAGGTATACAGTAATGAAAAACAAAAATGCATGCACAAAATGTATTATGAACCCTAGAACCTGGTAATACTAATATAATAGTAGTAGTTACTGTATACCTACTTTTGCAGCCTATATAACTTTTAACTGCCCAGTAATTTTAAGAATTTAAAACATTTTAATATTTTATAGAATTTTAGGTACTTTGGCTTGTTGAGAAAAATTCACTAATAAATTTTAAATTTATTATAGGTATCGCTCTTGATTTCTGATAATATTATCTATGAGCATCCATATTTACAAAAACAGACAAGTCTACCAGTGGCGTAGCTAGAGTAAACGTCAGCTGGGGCAGTCTGGTCAAATGTCACCCCAATGACCCCGATTCACCCTATGCTGAATGGTTAGCTGTAGCTAAATTTTCATACATGCTCTACCTCTACTTTACTCTACTGACCGGTACGTTACTGTTTACATGTATGATCCAAGACAAAATCCAATACCACAAAATAATCAGTTCAAATCAAAAGCTGAAATCATCGCTATTTTTCCTACTCACAAATTTCCTGACAATTTATTAGAAAATTTCTGACGGGAGGGACAAAACTGGGGGGTCATAAATTATTTCTGGGGAGTCATATGCCTGCCTGCAAAACCCTGTGTTTCCACCACTGTTTTCAGACTATTTTTGGCACCTTAGCCTGGTTGAAAAATTTTGTTGGGGGTGACATTGTGTCACCCTTCCTGTGAAGGCACCCGGGGTGGTTCGCTACACCACTGAAGTCTACACACACATAGAATTATTCATTGAATTGTGGTGAATTTACAATTAGTAAATATACTTCTAATTTAATAACAATAACACTTGACTGCTACAAATTGATAAAAAAATTTAAAATTTAAAAGTTTATATAATCTCATTAAATTAAAAAAAAAGTGAAAACAATTCTTGTAAAAATTCATTATTCATTGAAGAAAAAATTTTATACAATAGTGTCCATAATATATTTTTATTCATAAAAGCAATTAAAATCATTTCTAATTAATGTCATAGGTATATTGCATTTCTTTACAATTCAGAACAGATTTCTGTAACTGTTTGACAAAAAATTGATTTAAATTCTCCTAGGACTTGTCTTTATAATTAATATAAACATTAAGTGCTACAAAAAAAGAATTTCTTGAAATTTCAGATAGACTTAAGGCCACATCAAATTGAAACACTGGATCCTGTATGATCATCAAAGTTAAACAATGTCAAGCCAGGTCATTACCTAGATGGGTGACTGCTTGAGAATACCAGGTGCTGTAAGCTTTGATGTGCAATTGGTGTAATAGATAATGGCTTGGAATTGTTAATCGGTGAGCTGAGTTCCAATTTTTGTTGGGTTCATTATATTGACATACGCACAAATAACTTTGGGGAAGGTATGAAAATTTTTGCAAGAAAATCTTGAAGTGAACGTACTTTAAATGCAAAATATAACCTTGCATGACTGTGAAGCTCTTCATAGCTGAGTGGTCAAAGCACAATTGATCAAATAGTGGTTCTTCTGGCAGAAAGGGATGCAAGTTCAAATCCTGTCAGAAGGCACATTTTCTTTAAGTTTTCTTGAGCATACAGGCTGGTAAACAAAATAAATATTTTTTAAAATAAATGGAGTGTCTACTCAAATACTAGTATCTAATAGGATAATATTTGAAGTAATATAAAATATATGTTGAATTGTTAGCACTCTTCATATACTAAAACATAACATTTCTCCCATGAAAGTTACTTTTAATGTTTTGTTTAATTTTAAACCTTTTCTTCTGAAGACTTCTTCTTTGATTCTGTTTTACACTTTAAAATTTATTTAACAAAGCTATTAATTGTTAAAGTTAATAATTGTTAAAGTTAATTCAATAATTGTTAAAGTTAATTCAATAATTTTCTGTGATATTATAATTCATAACAAATATACTGACAATGAAATTTAGTTTTTTTTTTCATTAATTCATTTTTTCTTTCTAAAAGGTATTAGAAAAATGTTAATTTATATTAGTTTATCATCACAAAACATTTTTTTCCTACATTCAACATGTGAAAAGCATGTCTGATACCCTGCCCTCATCAGGTAATACAGTTTTGGTGGCTATAGGATCAAACTTAATGTTTTATATTGCAAAATTAATGAAAAATCATTTAAGAATGTTATATACAGTTAATGCCATATAATTAAATTCAATAAATTTAATCTAATATTTAGAGATCATAAACAAAGTTTATAAAATGTTAGCCCTAACTCTGCTGCTAAATCACACATTTTTTTTTAAGTATTTCACCCCGAGTAGGGCAGGAATGCCACTAGTACACAAGGAGCTACAGAGAGTGAAAGTAAGGGAAAAGACTGGATGGGGGTAAAGAAAGGATTAAAAGAAGAATGGTGGTAGATAAAAAGAAGAACATGGATCAAAGCAACAAAAGATGTTGATTGACATTACATTTAAATTTTTGAAGATTATAGTTATCAAGAAAGCAAGTAAGAAGAAGAGGGTTCAGCTCTTGAAAAGTGCAAGAGAAGAGAGAAGAAGCAGTTACATTTAATTGTTTTGACAGTAAAAGGGTGGGACCGAGATGCCAACCTAGTAGTGTGCTTAAATTCATGCAGTTAGGGTACAATAGCTTGTCAGAGCAGTTGCAATGAAAATATTTATAGAAAAGACAGAGAGAAGCCACATTACATCAGTGAGAAAGTGACTAGAGTTGAGACCCCAAGTCAGGACCGATCACATTGCATATTCACCTTTGGATTTTGTTGAAAACCTTGAGATGAACAGCAGGAGCACCAGACAATACATGCCAACAGTATTCTATGCATGGACTATTGGTAGATTTGTAGATGTGAAGGATGGACTCAAATGAGAAACACCTTCTGGCATGACACAATGAACCAACATTCCTTGTAGTAATTGCAGCTATTGACTCAATGTAGTTGTTCCACCTCAAGTCAGTGGAAAACATTAGACCAAGAAGGCACAGTGAGGCACTCTCATGGAGTTGAGCATCTACCATGCTGATAGGAGGCAGGGACATTTCTCTATGGTGAGTAAATGACAGCAGTTTTGTTTTGGATGGGTTAAAATTCACAAGATATTTCCTGCTCTAGTCAACCACAAATTAGAGGCCATTTTTTAGACCAACAGCTACGTTAACTTTATGAAGTCAATTTTTTTCTAGTTTTCATCATAACAATTAATTACTCCATTTATAAACAATAAGTTACTTCAATATTTATTTTGTTCCAGAATACATAGTTCTGATATTTTTTGCATTAAAACTGTCTTAAGATGGATTATTAGCTCAAAGATTACAATGCATATAACATTTCATGCACCATTATTAACAGTGGGCGGTGATGGATCTGAAGATCTGTCAAATTCTATCCTAATTGTAATAAAACTTTAGAAAAGAAAAAATATACCAACTTAAAGAGGATTAACTTTCTGAGCCAAATTAATTATGCTCTTAATCTCTAGCTTTTTTCTTTGAATTTCTTTAGTTGGTTACATCAGCAAACTAAATATTGTTCCTCCCGGTGGAATGAAAAAGATTTGAAACTGACCTCCATTTTTGGTTGTGAGTGGCATTGTGCTTGATCTGAAGTAAGAAATTCCATGACTGTGAAGAAATATGGAAATTTTGAGACCAAAGATACAGCACAGTCTAGGGAAGCCTTTGACAGTGTCAACTCCTGAAATTGTTGATCATGTTCATAACTTAATTTTAGCCAATCAACAAATCTTAGCCAAAAGAATTGCAGAGACACTAGAAATATCCAGGGATTTATAATTCATGAACAATTATGTAGAAGGTGTTATTCAAATGTTTGCCAACTAAAAATGATATCTAATAAACTTCTCTAAGCTGATTTTTCTGCCATCTAATATTTTTTAACTATTTGTGATTGTTGGAATGTGACTATGAATCAGAAACTAAACAACAGTCCCTGCAATGGTAGCACTAGATTTCTTCACAGTCAAAGTCAGCAGAAAAGGTCATTGGCCAGGTTTTTTTGGTGGGGAGAGAAGTTCTTTTGGTGACTATCTTCAGAAGAGCCAACCTTGTTCTCTAGCTTGCTATGCTGACTAAAAGAAGGGAGGCTATGGAAAGATGTTCCATTTTTGGAGCACAATGCAATGTTTATTGATCATTGTGTCCCCACAGAGTTCTTGTGAATTAGTATCAGCATTTATAATCTTCTAATACGGTTTGCTCCATTTTAAAAGTCAATAAGTTAAAATGAAAAGTATGACACTGAAATCTAAAGGCACAATGGGATAGCAAAAGGTGCCTTCCAAAAGCTAAGCAAAGTATTAAGGAACAGGAAATTTTCATTAGAAACACAGAGTATTGAACTGTTATGTAATATCAGTCCGACTATATGGCAGTGAATTCTGGACACTCTCTTCACGGATGAAGAAGAGATTTGAAGCAACAGAAATATGATTCTAAAGAAGGATGCTGAGAATACCATAGACTGAACATGTGAGCAATGATGTAGGTTTTAGAGAAAATAGAAGCAAATAGACACTTACACTTAACATCAGTTGAAATTTCTTGGGCACATAATGAAGAAAAAGTTCTAGGTAAAATTGATACTCACAAGGCAAGAGGGATGGAGGAAAACAATGCATAACCTACCTAGAGAGCTTGAGTAAATTGGTAGCAGAGCAGTGTTTAGGAAAGAAAACAAAAAGACAAAATTTATTTAGAGCAGCAAAAAACAGGAAATTGAGAAGAGCTATGACCGCCTACATCCAGAAGAGACATGGCATATAGAAGTATAAAAATAATGATACAAGTAAAACAAAGAAAATATTAGATAGATAACTGTAGCTCATTTTAATTAAATTTAATCAGTTTTATCTTTAAATCAGCATTAATATTTTATCCTTCAAAATTTTGATTAAAATAAGTAATAATTTTCCTGTTAGTGGACTCCTATACAATATACATCATCTTATTTATAAAAATTTCTCAGTCATTAAAAATAAGATTACCCTTCATTTCAAATACTCACAGTTACTGTTTATATGAAAAGGAAACTAAAAAAAAGAACAATAAATAAATGTTGGTTAAATGTTGAAAGAATACATTTAAAAATCAGGTGAAATATGGATAAAGTGCACCCCCTTGTTCTCACAGTGTACTGGCCAACAAGCTTGTGGAAAAAAGCAGGATAACTTCAATGATTATCCAGAAAATAACACACAATACAAAAGAGGAAACACATACAACCAAATGTGCACAACATCCACACAAACATGTACACTTAAAAATACACGCACAGAAATTACAAATTTGTGTGTATGCATGTGCGCACAGACACACACACACATACATACACACACAGTCATGTTACCATCAATTGCTTAACAATAGAATCTATACAAATGAGTAGAAGCCCAAAGTAATTGGATTTCCCATCTGGTCCGTGTAGAAGAGGCCTTGAAACATTAGTAGTAGGAGCCAACCAAGGCAGATTAGACATAAAAGTTGTCATGTCTGGACAACTGTTCAACTTACAGAGCCAAGTGGAACATGTGAAAATACATCACTGGATATTATGGGATGTCACAAGTGAGTAAAGACATGTTGAAATGAACGCCTTCTGGCATGTTACAGTTGAAAAATACCAGGCAGGTGTTAGAACAATATAAACAAGGCAGGTCCCAATTGTAAAAAAATTGCTTGCTTCTGTTGAAATCACTGAGATGTTGCCTTCAGCAAAGGTTATGTGATTCAAGCTAAGCTAGAATTATCTTATTACTTCATAGGGAAATTGCAAAAATGCATTTGCAAAGTTTGGGTCAAATGATACAAAATAGAACTCAAGGTCTCTGGTTCAATCAAGTTTTGTAATTAAAATAAATTCCTGTTAAAACAAACAAATTATATTTATAAGAAGGTATTTTAATTTTACAGATACAATATACTCAAATATATCAGATGCTTCAGAGGTTATGCCAAGGAAATTTAAAATTCACTTTAATGTTGAATTCACTTACAAGAAAAACTCATATTCATACCGTTAAATTGACTATAAGTATATTGAAAACTATTTAAAGATCATTCCACTGTCATTAGCCTCTACAATTTTTTTCTTAACTAAAGTTTATCTAAGAGCATCTCAAGGTTTATACACAAATACCCTTGAGAAACATATGTCCACCTCTGCTTCCCACCTCCATTTTTGAGTTAATTAGTAGGACTTGTATGAGTAAATCATTATTTTAGCCCTAGAATTCTTACAATCTAAAAATATTTTCT